AGCCTGGACATGCTGCACACAGAGCTCCTGGGAACGAGTGGCTGGGACCAGGTCGGGGCCTCACCTGTGCCCTCTGGCAGGGGGGCATTTCCTCCTTATGTGCCCCTTGCTGCTTAAGCCCTTGATTAGCTTTCAGTTCTGATGTCACATCGCACTAGTGACTGCAGGTTGCTCTCCTTGTGACTGATGTTCCTTCTCCTGCAGAGATTTGACTCAAACAGGGTCTTGCACACCCACAGCGTGCAAAGGCAGTGCCTGGCAGGGGCAGCTCTGGGCTGGGGACTTGTGGCACAAAAAAGTGATGGACTAAAGCTAAAGAGCAGGGGGAGACAGGTAGAGGTCAGTGCCATAGTAAGAGCTACTGAACACTCTGATTTACGGGTGCAGTCCTTTCTGCAGGTATCAATATCCACTTCAATAGGTGTGTAATTCATTGTGGAAGACACATCCCAGATTCAGATCTCCAGGTTTTCCAATAGAGCTCAGCCTTGGTTTCCTTATGATGGTCACAAAGGAGATTTTTTTTTCTTCTGAAGTGACTGTCCCCCCTTCAGAGAGGGGTGTGGGAGCAGGAGGGAATGGCCCAGGCAGGTCCCACAGGCAGGCCCAGCCCCAAGCTCAGCACAAGCTGCTCGAGCTGCAAACACCGACACAGCCCTCAGAGAGCAGAACTGGGGAGGGGGGACTTACATAATGTGTCAGAACTTTGTTTTGTGCTCCCATCAAACACCACTTTTTTTGCTTCATCTTTTCCTTGTGAATCCTTAGTACAGATTACGTGAACAGACTGCAGAGCATTATTCAGAAGAGCTTAATTAACCTCAGCCAGGGAAAGAAAAGGAAATCATAGAAGCTGTAGGGTAAAAAAAGATCATATTTAGACAAATAAGTGCAAATGACCCAGATGCATCAATTTCCTTCAGAGCCAGGCAAGGCAATCTGGATGCTCTGCAGAGACTGCAGGTCTGTGTCGCTGCGGCTCCTGCTGCCTTGGGGCTCTCCCACACCGCCCCTCCAGTCCGTGCTAATCCCACCTGCTCTCACCCATCCCTCCTCCATCTGCCACCTTCCTCTCAGACACCATCAAAATGCAGAGCTGGGAAGGACCCCGGGAGATCAGCTATTCCCTTCGCAGGATTAAGCATACTCAGATCATCTCTGATGGATGTTTGTCTAACCTTCTTTTGAAAATCCCCCAGGAATGCCATCCCAAGACTTCCCTATTTTGTCTGTTCTAGAGTTTAACTACTCTTATAGCTAGAAAGATTTTTTTCCCCAAGATTCTAATCCTGTTCTCCCTGGTGGTAAATTGAGCCAAACCACAGTCAAAATGGAGAATAATTGATCACCAGACTCCATAGAAGAGCAGCAGCTTTCACCTACTGGAATACCAGCTGCACATTCCTTTTTAGTTATTAGTTATTATCTTTCTAGATTAAACAACTCCATTTCTTTGGCCTTTCCCCACTGATGAGGTTTTGAGAGTCCTTTTTTTTTTTTTTTTGTCTTTTTTTGTCTTTTTATGTTTTCTTGCTCTTGTCTGATTTAACTACAAGAAATAATTTTGTGTGACATTCAGAACTGGGCAGTGTAAACCAGCCAGTCATCACCCTGACTGAACTGTGGGCAGGATAACAGGCAATACCATACTAATACAGCCCGCATGGACACGAAGGTACATTTGAGATGTTAATCATTTCTTCTCACTACGTTATCCCTGGGATAATCAGGAGCAGGAGCAGCAGCCTGCCCAGCTGCCATCTCTGTGCCCCACAGATCCAGAGCTCCTTTCCACAGTGTGGCTGCTTCTGTAGCAGATGAGTCTCCATTTTGTGTGCACTGTCTGCTCTGTCCTCCTGCACCGGGCTGGTTCAACCATCCTTTCTGCTCCTCAGCCACACAGTGCCTTCCTTTATCTGCTGTTTGCTCGCCTGTCTCCACGGATGTGCTGGGAAAAGGACAGTCCTGTGCTGCACAGAGCGGTGTGGGCAGCACCAGGATCAGCACCGCTCAGGTTCCTGGCTGCACACGGCAGAGAGCACACAAGCAGCATCACTTCATGGCCTCTGTGTTCCCTCACTTTCTGTTCTCTTGTCTACATGCATAAAAAGCTCCTTAAAACAAGCCTTGTTTGCTGTCTCTCATGTAGCCCAGAAGAATACCTAAATTTTATTGAACTCAATTAGAGTGCAAGCCATTTGAAGAGGCTCATGGTTCACTAAGGAGCTAAGTAATATCTGTTATTCTTTAAGAGCCAGAGGAACATAAGTGATAAAATATCCATGGATCAAATAATTATTATGCATCCCGTACTATGGGTATTAAAATCTAGTCAGTTGGGAAATAATATCCATTTATTGAGTGTTGGCAAGAAGAAGGGAGAAGTGATAATAGGAGATGCCCAGATATTAAAAATGACATTATCCAGTTACAGTTGTTAATCTGCTCTACAGACTGAACTTTCTGGAACCAGGTATGTACAAAGTGTCTTCCATGGGCAGGCATGTGCTACTCACTGAGGTGTTTAAGTGTTCTGTCGCTCTGGGAGAAGTAAAGGGTCTCATAAATTCAGGGTACCACTGCTGGGGTTCGTGGACAGTGAGTGAGGAATATCCTTCTTCTGTGGAAGTAGGAAGGAAATGCACTGTGGGGTATTGGGAGAGTGATGGGAGAAGGAATGATCCCTTTCTCCTCAAGTCATTATTGAACCTTCTCCTCCTCGTGACAGTGAAGTGGCAGACAGGAGCTCTGTGCCCGTTGTCTTTCCCTCTTTTCCCCTGTGCTTGCTCAGCGCTCAAGGACAAACCACGGCATCTCTTCCTCGTGTTCTCGGCAGGCTCAGGAGCTGAACCATTGCATTTCTCCAACAATAATATTCTGTGGGGCCATTTTCTTTCCAGCAGCCCTTGCAGGATTCTGTTCTCTCCTCATTGCTCCTCCAGCAACTCCCAGGCAGCACCGTTACCTTCTCCAATGCTCGGCAGCACCTGCGGGGCTCAGGAGCCTCTGAGATGCTCTGCAGGAGCCTCAGCCTGGGAGAGGAAAGGGATGGAGCAACTCAGGCAGGCACCTCCAAACCCAGGGACTGTCCTCTGCACAAAGCTGTTAAAGCATTCACTTGGCATTAGCTCATAATGTTTTCTGAGTCAAAATCAGAGAGATAAGAGGGGAAAAATGTACTGAGTGTGTATAGCGAAAAGGCCAACGCACAGAGCCTGCTGAGAAGGAGGGTTGTGATTATTTACTCCTGTAATACCTTCAGGAACAAATCTACACAATCATGAGAGTTGCCTGGAAAAGTGCTGTGGATTCCTCTTCACCCGTGTCATCACGAGCACGGTCTGCTCGTGTGGTGTTCCGCAGGTCCTCTGCTTCAGTGAGTGGGAAGGAGAATGGCTGTTGTACAGCTAATTTAAGGAGCACATCTTGGTTCCTGTGAGATTTGAGATCAGCTTTTTTTGGGAGTGTGGTGGAGATAAATGTTATTTGTCCAAACGAGCCCCAGACTCACATTAAACACGGAGTGTGGTATCGATTGCATTGACCAGGTCCTGTGTGACACTTACAGCCTTGCCCAGGCACAGAAGCAAAGCAGCAATTTCCCAAGTTAGGACAAAACAGAGATGATATTCTGTTGCCTATTCAGCCTTTTTTAATGTATTGGACAGCATCACTGCTCACAGCCTGCACTAGAGGAAGGTGTTTGTACCAGAGGTTTGTTAATGGAATTTCTCCCTAGCATTCCAGGGGAAGGAGTCAGGATTTAAAGCTTCTGGCCAGGGCCTTGTCTCATGAGAATTAATACTGTCTGGCAGATCCATGAGCAAGTTTGCTAAATAAATTATGGTGTAGAGTTTATTTTCCAAGATTAATTTTTTTTTAAATTATACCTACTGCTTATCTTTAAAAATCTCACTGCTAAATATTATCTGAGTAAATAAATGTTGTACATTGACTTCATTTTTCTTCTTAAATGAATCCTTTGATATAGATTTATCTTTAAATTTATCTTTATCTCAAAAATCCAAAAGTACTTAGGTTAAATTGATTTAATATACCTAAATATTGGCTTTTGAGAGTGGTTAGAGGAAGGAAATCTTGACTGTGTGTTGCTGAGTTTGGTGTGCTAAATATGTGTGCCTTGAAACTTGAATCACTTTGGTCATGACTACAGAATTAACATTTTTTTCTGAGGATCATCTTTTGTTATCTGCTCCTGTAAAGACATGGAGATGTGGGGCCAGTGCTCCTCTTAACTCAGTGTAACTCAAGAGTAGTTCTAGTAAAGGCAGTACAAAGGTTACTTTTCCCTCCCCAACTTAGAGAAATAAGCTGCTGCTCCACAACAAGGAGGAGGGAGAGGAACATGAACAGGTTTGGTTGAAAAGGTCATAAATCAAGGAGGGGAAAAGAAAATCCTGAGCTGGATCGAGAGGTTAAATCCAGGGTTTAATGAGGCAGAGATAGGTTAGGAGTGCTTTGGCCTGAGAATCGGGGGGATTTCTCACCACTGAGCTATGTGTGGATGGGAAATGGGTTCCAAGGAGAAGGGGCAGAGACCTGCCTGCCCTGGCTCTGGGAATGTGTTTGGGAAGCAGATCTGCACTCCCCAGCCTGCAGTGCCAAACACTCCTGCACTGTGTGTGCACACCTGGCTGGCAGCACAGGGACCCCCTCGGGCCAGTGGTCTGAAGCTTATGGTTCTTATCCCATGGAACAGAGCTCCCATCGTGGGAAACGATGGAAGCCTGTTTCCTGCTCAGAGGCATTTCTTCATGCCCACATGCTGAATTTTGCAGCAGGAGGATGTGTTTTGTGTTCTCCTCTGCCCGTGATCTACCCTGTTTGCAGGGAATGTGTTCACAACAGGTGAGGCCTGAAGAACCTGGCCAGGTCGCACAGTTATTTCTTTGTTTTCTTCAGCTCTCCCAGGAATTTCCCGTTGAGCTCAGGCTCTGTAAGCATCCCACAATCAACCCTTTCTCCTTTTGTCTCTGTAGGATCTGATAAGAAGAGATATTCTGTATTACAAAGGGCGCATAGACATGGATAAGTATGAAGTGGTGGATATAGACGATGGGAGAGATGATGACTTCAATGTCAGCATGAAGAATGCCTTCAAACTTCATAACAAGGAGACTGAGGAAATGCACTTATTCTTTGCCAAGAAACTGGAGGAGAAGTTACGATGGCTTAGAGCTTTCAGAGAAGAAAGGAAGATGGTAAAAGAAGATGAAAAGATAGGTGAGGAATATGAAAATGAATCTGAAAGGAGATTGTTGCTAATGTTTCATTTAGCCCCGATGGGTGGAGAAGCCGACATTTTTTTGTAGTAGAATTACAGTTCAGTCTTACTGAGATGTCCTTGTTTGCTCTCATAGTCATAAACAGGTCTCTTTCCAATTCATTTACTGTTATTTTTGGCCCTGAATAAACAAATTCTGCCCATAGCTTCAAGCCTCCATGGGTATATGGGAGAAGGAAGTCTTTGGCCATCTGACTTCAGTGTCTCCTGGCTGCACCACTCTGCTCTGGTTATGTCTCATGCAGCATAGGAGGGCAGCAAAGTCAGTGACTTCCCAGCCATGCCCTCCCCTCGCATCAGATTTAATATACCTAAATATTGGCTTTTGAGAGTGGTTAGAGGAAGGAACTGTAACCAGTGTCAGTTCAGGCTCAGTTTGTTGCTCAGCTGTAAAGCACTGGGCACATTTATGCTACTGTATAAATAATAATGGGTCTAATCTTACTTTTCATACAGTCCCTGCACAAGTGAGACTATAAAGTGGCCTGTCCTTCCAAGGAAGAGCTGCTTTTCAGTAGAACACACCCGTACACTCAGCTCACCGGGCCATCCTTGCCCGCTTGGGGCCTTCTGTGCTTGCCCAGCAGTGCAGGGCATCCCTCCCCACCCCAAAAAAAAACAACTCCGAGGCTTTGTAAGCAACCTTCTGAATTGTGTTTGCCGTGTTCCCTTTTCCAGGCTTTGAAATTTCTGAAAATCAAAAGCGGCAAGCGGCAATGACAGTAAAGAAAGTCAGTAAGCAAAAAGGTAACCGGCAACACGCTCTGTGCCTGGTGATGTGAGGGTGGAGCGGGCTGGGCTGAATCCTGCTGGGTTAGGATCCAGCGTCCCCTTGAACTTCCCCCTCCCCTGCTCTTTTTTTATAAAATACCGTTTGTGCTTTGTATCCTTTCTTAATGTATCTGTGGGCCAAATTAATCTCTGGTCGAATGTGCTTGAAGCCAGTGGAATGGCACCAGAGATGAATTTGATCTCGTGTCTCCAGTCTGATGTCCAGAAGCTGTCCCTGGGGGCAGAAATCTATCTCAGTTGTTTATCTCAGGCTGAAACGGGAGTGAGTGCGGAGGTGTGTAGGGGTTCTGCTAATTCCCAAAGTCTCCCATTAGCAAAAAAAGAAGGATGACTAAAATACTAGAACTGGGGAGGGAGCTACCCCTTTCCTGCTTCTGGAAAGGGGACACTCTTGTTTTCTGGGGCTACCTGTAACTTTTTAAGGATAGCACAGTAGCACCAGCTCTAGGAAATAAAGTATTTTTAGTAAAGACATTATATTTCTTGAATGTCAGAATCATCTCCCCACCCAGGCAGGGTACAGCCAACTAATCAATGCCATGCCAGGTATCAGGCAGAGCCTCAACTGGCACAGGCCAGCGTTTATTATCTCTGGCAATAACTCTTGCAGCTACAGGTTTGGAAATACTCAACACAGAGGGAAAGTCAGAGAGGTCATCTTTCAAGTTCTCCAAAGCTTCACTATGTCATAGACATATTGACTCAGTACCAAAGTTCCATGGCACAACTAGGCCTATAAATGGGTTTTGAGAGGACTCGTCACTGCTTGGGCTCGGGTCAGTCCCAGGCAGGTTTGTCCCCACTCTGCAGGCAGTGGGTTTTTTTCAGAAGTTGAAGGAATTCTTTGCTTTCTGCCTCACCTGTTGTTGTCTACTGGCTTTGCTGGTCCAGTAGTGGTTTGCCAGGCCAACTGTAAACTCCTTGGTTTGCTGTGTCTCTCCATTGTCATTAGTCTTCTCCTCTCTACTAACTTCCTATGCCGTCTTCTAAGATGTTCTCTAAAAACTCTCCTGGCCAGATTTTCTGAGCTCAGCGTGTGCACACCCCAAACCCAGGCCCAGGTACCTCACCCAGGGTACCTCAGGCAGGAGTGGCCACTGAGACACCCAGCTCGAGGTCTCAGGCTCCCCCTCAGCACCCGCATGTTTGTCCCCCAGCACGGAACCAATCACAGGGGTTACGGCAACTGCAGAATCAGAATCAGACTTGCATGATGCCATGACAAAACCAGTTTGAATTATTACTTGCTGTTCAGTTAATTATATTATTAATTAATGAAGGTATTAATTAATAATTGTACTGTTCAGCCATTAAGGGACACAGTTCAGAGGTGCCTGAGCATGCCTACCAGTACTCCCACGTAAATCACTGGACTCGCATCCTGACAAACACAATATGCCCGACAGGACTTATGTCTTACACAGCAATTGCTCTCTGTCTTCTCTCTTTGTCTTTCTCTCTCTTTCTCTCTGAGATGAAAAAAGAGGGGTTGTTATCTTAGGCTTCTTGGACTATAAAACTCATTAGCTCCTAGAACAGCAGTCAGCATTTCTTTAGTGAAGAACGAGCTTAGGCTGTAGCACTGGCAGTTCTTTTTATGAGATTAAGTCCTCGAGTCAGACAGAAGTTCAGTCACATCCCAGCACCAAGTTAAGCACAGCCCGGTTGTTTTTAAGACACGGAATCTGAAAAACAACAAATAGGGTTGTTAAAACAGCAGCTCTGTTTGCTTTGTCCTGCACTGTGGTGATCATAGCCCAGTCTCATTCAGATTGATTGAGTATTGACACTTGAAGGTTTTGCTGAAGACTCTTTGGGTTTGTTACTCTGTGGTTTGTCTCGTGCCCAAGCATAGAGGCTGCTGGAGCTGCTGGCACTGCTCAGCACGGGGAGGTAGGAGGAAACTCCTGAGAGCTGGCTTTTAGAGACTGAGTTTTTGAATCTTGCCATATGCATTTTACAGTTATTGAGATATTTTTGGCCAAGACCTTGGCAGGCACACTGAGAGGTGTGCCCATGCCAGGGGTTGCTGCCTCTGCCCTCCCACGGCACCACAGGAGCATCAGAAAGGGCTTTAGGTTGGTTTTGGAGCCTCAGTTATACCTGGAAAGCAGTGAAGCCCTTCAGAAATGGGAATACTTCAATGGAACTGCTAATTCACTTAAATGCAGGCTTTGCAGGATGGGCTGAGTGGCTCCAGCAGGGCCTGACAGCTCCACAGCCCGGCCCGACGTGTCGCGAGCTCTGCTCCCGTGTCAGCGGTGCCTGTTACAGACTTGTTCCTGGATTATCTCAGCTGTTCCCTCCACCTCTTAAATGGGAAACCATGGTAATTCCCCTGTCACAGAACACTTAAGGAAGAGAGAAAAGCCGTGAAGGAGGTGAAATGGAAAATGCAATCAACTTTGTTAGAGGTGAAGCAGAAAAACATTTTTCAAATAGTATAAACTGCTGCTTATTTCATGCACTGTTGTACCACACCTCCCAGAAGTATTGCTCTGGAGCTGGCTGGCATGTGTTTGAAGAGGAGGCATTTAAACCACTGCTGGCTGCAGCAGGCGAGGGGGAGGCACTGGGAGCAGCTGAGAGCAGCAGAAGTAGCCTTAAAACTCTGCTTTTTGAACTAACAGAACCTTTAGCCAGGTGACCAAGTGGGAACACAGCTCTTTGAGAAGTTTTTAATCCCCACCTGAGGGTCCTCTGTGGGGCCCCCTAGAAGCAGCCCCCTCCTGACACTCTAACTGCACAGGATGTGTGCAGGGCCAGAGTCCCCGCCAGATCCAGCTAACGGTGCACGAGGGCAGATTTCAGCAGCATCCCAGGATTTGCACTGCTTATTGGATTGGGAAAAATGTAATGGCATTAGACCAGGTGCCTTAAGACAGCATTAAACCAATTTTTGGCCTTCTGTAAGTCCATTAGATATACAGTAAATGGGTACCATTGGCTCTGCACCTCACAGACAGAAAAGGGCTGGTTGCTGTTGTTTTCCTTTTGCATTGATTGTTGAAGATTTTGCCTCTTGGTTGTTGCCCTTTAGCTTCCTTCAGTGTCAGTGTGGGAACTGGGAATAGAATTCAGTGTGGTGTCTCCTAGAAATAGTAAAGTAACAAGAGAATTTTATTTGTCTTGACTTAACAAAAACAACAAAAACCCCCACAGCCCTTTGCAGGCCACAGGCAGCCACGTGTGCAGGATCTTTGCAGATAGTCCAGGTCCCACTGAGAACTTCCACTGCCTGTGCTGGCATGGCAGAGGGATGATGGCATTGGGTTGTGCTTCCAGCACTGTGCCTGTTATTGACTGGAGCAGTGGAAACAGGTCCAAAGTTCCCTTGGAAACAGGTCCCTTGTGGATCTCCAGTCCATCCTTACCCACAGGTTAATCCAGGGTGCTTTTTCCATTTCTAAGCATCTAGAAGCAGAAGGCTCCTGGAGTGCCTCTCTCCATCAGTGACCTCTGTTCCTCAGCCACTTGTCATCTCCCCCCAAGGGTTGGTGTTTGCAGCCTTCAGGAACATTCAGTTCCCTTCCTGATGCCTTCCTGATCCCCAGCTCTATCCATGTCTGGTCCCAAGCAGGACAGGGATATTTGCTTGTACTCCTAGAAGCTGCCAGCCAGGGCTGTCAGGGAATTAGAGGTTCTCCCAGGAAGGAGACTCTATTCTTAAAGCATCATTTCCCACTAATGTTTTCACTTTAGAAAATAAAATATCCGCTCAGATTTAGACAAGTGACCTTAGGGTGAGCTGGGAGGATTTCCCGCCCCAGGAGAGCTCTTCAGCCCCACACTGTGAGCCAGCTCCTTCATGCCCTTCTCCCTGCCCTCTGCATTCCCCTCTGCGCTGTGCACAGCTTCCCCAAAGCAGATGCCTTCAGCCCAGACAAGCCTTTAGGAGGAGGGAAGCACAGATTCAGTCAGGATCGCCCCGTCCCCGAGCTGAGAAGGATGCTGTCACTAAACGTGCCCCACACTTAGCTGTGCACACCCAGCAGGAGTTAAATCATCAGCCGGCATGAGCTGCTTTGGCCTGTCATAAAACACCCTCTGAATCACTGGATTTTCCTGCTAATTTATTCCTGCCTGATCACTTGAGCTCACAGCAAACTATGTCATGAAAACCCCGACCCAGACATGCAGCAGCTTCTCTCTGACTTCTCCCACTTCAGCACCTGAAGCTCTCCCAGCACGTGTGCACAGCAGAGCAGGTGACTGCCCCTTGTGCTGCTGTGCCTCTTGCTGACAAGATTGACGTGGCCCTGCCGTGTTTCCCTTCGTGTTCACGCCTGTAGGCACAGCCTCGGGGGATTGCAAGAGCCTGAGCAAGCAGGGACTAACCCTGGAAAACAAAGAGGGGCATTTGCATTTTTGGATAATCAGGGTCACTTCCCGTTTTTGCAGCACAGTAGGTGAAAGAACGGAGCTGATCATGTTCTCAGGGGGATTTCCCCACAGATTCGGGGAAGTCTCAGAGCTTACCCCATTTCTTGTAAAGCCCCTGCCCACTGCTCGTGCTGTGGCCACAAGCACCATCCCACGGCAGTACAGAGAGTGTGCTGCTTGCTCCAGGCAGCAGGAACCCAGCTGGAGGCAGCAATATCCTCTGAGAACCTCAGACCTACGAGCTAAGGCAAATCAGGAATAAAGTCTTGGCTGGGAGACCTCTGAGGGTGGTACAGTGACTCTGCTGAGCACATGCTGCAGGGCAGATTTTTGGTGAGGTGTTAATGGTACTCGTTTGGAGAGCCCAGGTGTCAACATCAGTGTCAGGATGAGGTTCCAACTGAAATAAGTTCGTCAGCCCAGGTACTCCTGCACTTCAGTTTGGTGAGGGTTTCAGGGGAGGGGCGGTGCTGCTCCCCAGAAGAGGCAGCTTCTCAGGGTTTTCATGGCTGAACTGATTTCCTCCTGTCAGTGAGACCCATGGAGTGATCTTTGTGGTCAGCCTGCAGAGT